ATCATAATCTTCTTCTTTGAATTGTCTATTAGTATTTCTAATTTGTGTCTATTACTTTTTAATCTATTTATATTATGAGCTGCTATTTTAATACTTTTTCTGACCTCTTGTATGCTTTTCTTATTTGTTTCAGTACTCTTTGCTATATGGTTTGCTTTTTGCTTTGTCTTATTTTGCTGTACAAATTTTCCTTCTTGTATAAGCAAGGCTTCCTTTAATTCAACTAGTGTAAAAATTAGGAATGATTTAGATATTTTACCTCAAAGTCTCTAATTTTTCCTTCTAAATTTTGCATTAGCTAAGCTATGTAATCTAGGGATCTGTTATAGTTTCCATAATAGCTTTGCCTATTCAATTTCTCTCTTCTATTAGTTTTTGCTTTGCTTTGAAAGCTATTTTTTTTAACAAATTTGAACTCTTCATCCTCGCTATTATCTGATAAGGTCTGAGCATTCCTATACTTATTCTAGTTTTTTTATACTCATTTAGAGCTAAACTAATTCAGCTTCTTGCTAATAGCTTTTTCCTTTTTATACTCTTTCTTGAATATATTTCAAGCATTCATCTTCTTGTTCTTCTTCGAACTCCTTTCTTTTCCTTAAGCTCTTTTTATTTCTTTTTATGAATACTTTGTTGTCTCTATATACTTTGATTTTTTGGTTCTTGAGTGGTTCTACTTCTTGGACTTTTAAATTTGCTCATTTTAGCTTATTATTGTAGTAATATATTGAAAACTTAGAGATATTTATCATATCTTCCTCATTTTCAAAGTATACTGTCACACTACTTATATTATTGTTGTTAGCATTTTGGAAGATATGTAGTACTTTAGCTCCAGATTTCTTGACTTGTTTCTAGAATAGTACTTCATTCGTATTTTCTGGTAGATCTAGGAGTCTTTTGCTGAATCTGTTTCTTGTACAAAGTAATTCAAGATTGTTAGTACCTGTTGTTACCCTTACTAGTATCTGGTTTACAAATAGTAGACACCAGATCTCATTCATTTTTCCTTCATCAAAAGTGTCTGCTTTAAACTCAATCTCTGCTCTTGTTTTATCATATACACTTTTTATCATTTCTATATGTTCTACTCTTTCTATAAAATGAACTGTCTCGAAAACTTGTTCTTTTTGCCTAGTTTGGTAAGTCCCAAATAGTTATTTTGTTTTTTTCCCTGTTTTTATTTATGTTAATAAAGTTTTGCTGAACTCTGATATTTTCCTTGCTTATATTCTCTTGTTGGTCTGTGGTAATTGTAATCTTCTTTTTCCTTCTTGTTAAAATTTCTTCTAGTTCTTTTTTTGCCTGCTTTTCTCTTTTTCTTTTTACATCTACAATATCAATCTCTCTATCTTGACTACTTGAAGTTTGAGTAATCTTATCTTCTTCTATATTATCTTCATGGATTAGTTTAGCTTGTTCGTACTCTTCTTTCTTATTTTCTAGTTTCCTTTTAGCTTCTTTGTAGCCTTTCTCACAGTCAAAAATTAGAGTATATCACAAGTTGCCTCGTTCAAATTTTTCAGATATTTCTTTGAGATGAACATTTCTTCCAATTGACTATCTCAAGGATTTTTCTCTATGACTTGCATTATTTTCAAGTACTTTTATAGCTGCTACCTTCTCTCTTATGATCTTTTCCCTTTCACATCTATCTTTACTTGGGGCCCAAATACTTTTCTCAAGTGATGAGTCAGACTTAGCTAGTATCATATCCTCTTCTAATTCTTCTGAAGTATCAGAGTATAGGCTTGAGTTTAATATAGAGACTTCTTTATTTTGAAATTCTTTAATGTCTTCTATTATGTTATCACTTTCTTTGTTTCTTTTGCTTACTAAAGGTTGTTTTTCTAGTAAAGCTTGTTCTTCTTTTAAGCTATCAACTATCTCTAAAGAATTTGTTTGATCTATCATTTCTATATCTGATTTGTTTACATTCTTCTGAGTTGCTAATTCATCTTCTCTTATTATTATATCTTGGGTTTTTTGCTCTAAAACTATTTTAACTCTATCAATTCCTTTTGTTATTGCTGCTCTTTCTATTACTTTTTTCCATTCTCTTGCTACTGTTACTATATCACTTTCTATTTCTAGTATCTCTGCAATCATTTTGTCTATATAGTCTTCTAGACTCATTACTGTATCACTTCCTTCTGCTATTATTTCTTTGCCATATTCTTTTATTGCTACTTTAACTAATCTTATTGCCTTTGATTTGTTCTATATATTTAAACTCTATATTCTGTTGGCTCCTTCTATTCTTATGTATCTATTCTTCTTTTGTTTTTATATATTGCATTTTGATATAACTTTGCCTTTTTTAAGGAATTTTTCTGAGATTTGTCTTATTTGCTAGTATTTTTTCCAGTTTTGGTCTAGCATGTTTCCTTTCTAGGAGTTGACACGTGACTAGATTTTCAGAGTCACATTTGTTTGTTTACCTTATTCTTCATGTGACTGTATAACATCAACTAATCTGCAATACAGGGCATATCCAAATCCTCAGTTTTTAAAAAAATAAATAAATTTTCTGATATTTTTATATTATATATTTTTCTGAGACTTCTTTTCTATTAGAATTTTTGCTCTTCTGTCTTGTTATCTGTATTTTCTTGTTCTCCTTTCTTTTTCTTAGTGACTCAAGTATAGTTTTTTAATGAAGTTTTTGAGTTATCTTAATTTTTCATTTGCTCCAAAAATGGTCGTAATGATCAATGGAGAGAGTGTGATCTTTGATAAGTATTTATATTTATAATTTTAATAAAACTAATTAAGTTAATAAATCATCATTATACTTATCATATTAAAAAATTATTTTTATATTGAGGCTATTTAAAAGATATTAGATTTTTTTTACACTTTTTATATCTTGTTCGAGAAGAGATACTTAAAAATTTGCTATTATTATTGGTTTCTTGTAGACAAAACGTACAAATAATAAAACTTTTTTTCTCATATCTAATTAAGAAAAAATTTATAATAATAATAAGTATTTGTAGTATCTAAATATACTAATTATATATTTTTAACAAATAACAAATTTATTTTTTGCTAAATTATATAGTAAAAAGAACTAGATTTATAATTATTTATAAAGAAGATTAAGTTTAAAAAGTAAATTATAAAAAAATTAAATCTTTTTAAAATATTTTAACAAATAATGAATTCGTTTTTTGCTAAATTTAATAAAGATACATACTTTATTATAAAAAATTATTTGATTCAATATATTGCAGATTAAGATTAAATTAAGTTCTAAAAATAATTTTTTTTAAAAAATATTTTTTTAAAAATAACAGTTTATTTTTTGCTAAATTTAAAAGTATATCTATATTTTATTTTAACAAATAATAAATTTGTTTTTTGTTAAATTTAATAAAGATAAATACCTTTTTTCAAAAAAAAAATTTAATTAAATCTATTGTAAATTAAGTTCAAAGTAAGTTATTTAAATTAAAAAATTGATATAAAGTAGTCAAAATTTTAAAATTTTTTATAATATCAAACTATTATAAATACTATTTATAATACTTATATATTTTACATTGCAATAGCAATATCTCAATAGCAAAAAACAAATAAAAATAATACAAATAATACAAATTAAATTTTAACAAATTTATAGCAAATATATAGCATAGATTAGTAAATATTCTCTAATATTTTTAATAAAAGCAGACCATTTATCTTTTCTAAAGTTTTCTAACTATATAATACTAATATCATCAATTATATCTAAAACTACCTAATTGTTATTTAGAGTATGAAATAATTCTACTAATTGAGGACCTGCAGTAATAAATATTGTAAGTTTTCTTGATGGAATACTTCCTGAGAAACCTGGAATATTTATTATTAGATCCATAAATTTTTCTTTTGAACTATTATTTTTTTTTATTTTTTTTTCTTTATGAGAATCACTATCAACAATATTTTTAATATTAAATAAATTATTTTTTTCTTTAATATTAAATATATTGTAAGGAGACTTTTTGCTAATAAGAAGAGCTCTTATTTGAGTTGCTGACTTTGTTCCTTTATTACAGCTTGTGAATTTCATTGTCTATTTCTTTAAATAATTATAAGCAAGATTAAATTTATATAGAAATCACAAAGATATTCTACGTGATATTTCAATTTGATATGCTAAATTATTAACATCAAAAATTGTTTAATAGCAGGTAGACATTAATGCAAAAAAAGTATTCAATTGTTTTTTTATTGTATCTAATTGTTCAAAAAAATTATTTTTTAAAAAAGAACTAACCCTAAGCTCTTGAGGAATTTGAGATTTATATCTCAAAAGTATAAATTGATTTAAAAAGTCCTGATTATATTCTGAATTTAAATTCTGATTGTCTTTTATATTTAATATTAATGTTCTACTTATTTGTGTCATATTGAATTAAATGATTGAAGATCTATAAAGAATAGTAAGTTCTTTTAAATATTCAAAAACACCTTTAAAATAATCATTCTTTTTTATATTAGAGTTTGAATCATAAAACAGAACAATAACTAATAATTCTAATTTAAACACTAAGAATTCATAATATAGTTTAGAAATTTTTAATTTATTTTCAGTTAATATATCATGTTTTTTTGAACTTTCAGAGTTAACAAAATAACCAAGAACCTAGATATAGATCTTGGTTAATTTGCTCTTTTTCAGACACTTTTTCAAATTTAGGAAATTCTATTTTCATAATAAATTTCCAAATTTTTATTGGATTAATTGGCTCTAATATAATTTTACCTTGATTGTTTTTGATAGTTGCAGTTTTTTTTACTTAGATTAATTTCAATTTTATTGATACTTGTATTATATGCAATAGATATTAAAATAATACTTTTATTTATGATATCTAGATATATATATTTAGGTCTAGATGATCTTTTTGACAATTTGGATACTCTTACACCTAAAATTAATTAAAATTGAAGTTAAATATATTAATTAATTAATTAATTAATTAATTTTTTAATTATAATTTACATAGTTATTTAATATCTCTATTATTATCTTCTTTATTATCTTTCTTATCATCATCATCATCATTACTTTTTTCTTCTCTATCTTCATCACTTGCTTTATTAGCTTTTTTATAATTTTTAATTTCTTTACTATCTTTATTACTTTCATTATTTCCTTCTTCACTATCTTCAACTCTTTCTTCATCTTCTTTATTATCTGCCTTATTATTTTCTTTATTATCATTTGATTTATTACCTAAAATAAATAAATTAAATTATTTAATAAATATATTAAAAAATTAATTATTAAATTATATACTTACGAGAAAAAGAATAGAGTTCTTCATATTTTACTTTCAAGACTTCATTATTATGACTTGGATTTTTGTTTACTTCAATTATTGTGTCTATTAAAAATCTTTAATTTATTTTAAATTAATCTATATTGTTTAATTCTTAGAATACAAAACTTTTCTTTAAGTTATTACAATATATGATTTCAATTTTATTATCAATAAATCAAACTTCGTGAATATAGCAGCCAGTATTGTAAGAATGCAATAGGTATGCAATTCATATTAAGTCATCCATAATTTCTATTTTTTTTTTTTGTTAAAAAAAAAAAAAAAAAAAAAAAAAAAAAAAAATTAAATTATTAATATTATATTCTATATTTAGCAAAAAATGAATTCATTTTTTGCTAACAAAAAATAAAATTATTATTAATTAAAAAAATACTTTGAAGTTTTATTAGAGAGAATATAGTAAAGAAAAAAAATCTTATTTTATAATAAAAATATAGTAATTATTAAAGTTTCATAATAATATTTAAATATTTAATCTAATTATATAATTAGATTTAGCAAAAAATAAACTCATTTTTTGCTAAATTGAAGAAAATATTACCTAAAAAAAAAATTAGTAAATATTTATTTAATAAAAAAAAAAAAAATCTATCATATATGATAAATATATATATAGTATTATTTAAAGTTTATAATGATATTCAATTTATGTAATTATGTAATTAGATTTAGCAAAAAATAAACTTATTTTTTGCTAAATCAAAGAAAATATTATCTAAAAAAAAATTAGTAAATATTTATTTAATAAAAAAAATAATTTATTATTAATAAATTTTAAAAAATACCTCAAATTTCATGAAAAAGAGAAAAAATTTATCATATATAATAAATATATATATAGTATTATTTAGAGTTCATAATGATATTTAATCTATGTAATTATGTAATTAGATTTAGCAAAAAATAAACTCGTTTTTTGCTAAATCAATAAAAAATATTATTTAAAAAAAAAAGAGAATTTCTAATTTTAATTAGGAGAAATTATTACTTCAATTCAGATAGATTAGTATTAGTATGATATAGATATAGTATTCTTGCATGTATGTAGTTTTTTTAAAATAAATTATTTACTTTTGTTGTTATTTTATTTCATGTAACTGAAAATTATAATAAACATTTGTCAATAGATGTATTTAAAATAAATTATTTATACTATATTAATCTTATATATTTTAGTTGGCAAATTTATAATTGATTTGTTATGTATCTAGATATTTTACATTTATAAGTATAATTAATCTATTCTTAGTATCTGAGGCATTTTATATTCTAGGTTTTCGAAAAATATGAGAAGTATTATACAATAATAGATATAATTAAGTTACTCCCTAGTATTTTCTGAAAATATAATATAACTATCTAAAGCTATAAAATATAATAGTATTCATCCTATAATCAGCAGTTACTAAGAATCCTTGAAGAGGTGGATCCTTTAGGTTGACAATGCTAAGTTTAGCAAGAAATGAATTCATTTTATACTAAATTTAGTATAAAATAAATTTGGTTTATGCTAAACTTAGCATAAAATAAATTTATTTTATACTAAGCTTAGTGTAAAATAAATTTGGTTTATGTTAAGCTCTTAATATGAAATGATTTCATTTATACTAAACTTAGCATAAACCAAATTCAGTTTCTGCTAATAGCTTAGTATAAACCAAATTTATTTTAGTATAAAATGAATTCGTTTTCTGCTAAACTTAGCATAAAATAACTTTTAGTTAAAAGCTAAAATCTAATAAATCTAGCATTGCTAGTTAAAAAAGTTTTATATATATAGTTTTGTTAAAGTAAATACTAGGAATGAGTACAAAGTATGTAAAGTCTGGTTTACAGGCATCTGAAATGATGTGTCTCTTTTTTATCTGATTAGTTGTTCTATCTTGTGATTTCTAGATTTTTATCTACAAAGCTTTTTGTCTATTGAAATATTATAAAAAAAAAAAATGTGAATTAGATGTTTGTGATCAGATAATTATCCTTTCTAGATTATTAAATAATATTAATTTCTCTATTTATTATTTTGGCTTTTAACCTTATTATACATTTATTAAATTATTCTTGATTTTATCTGTTTTTGTTCACTGTTCTGATTGTATTATTATCATTATATTATATAAAATTTCTTTAAAATTTATTTATATCAATATAAATTTTTTGGCTTATTAATCTTACTTGTTTTGAATAAATCAGGCTTGTTACTATACTAGTTTACTTTGTTAAATAGAAAATTTTCATATAAGTATCAAGTAGTTTGAACTAGTCTGCAAAGTCTAGTATATATTCATAATAATAATAATGTTATGATATATTTGTGCTATATCTAGCATATATGCATTATTTTTCTATATCAATATCTGTTATAATAATATAAGCAATCATCATTATGTATAGTTAGACTAATAAAGTACTAAAGTATTTTCTAATAAAAGTAATTATCTGTTTTATTAATGAATTGTCTACTGGTAAATTACGTATATCATAAATTTTCTATTTTATAATTTATGATCTTAATTTAGATAAATAGGGCTTGTTGTTATATTAGTTTATTCTATTAATATTGTATATGTACCTATGCCAAGTTGGTGACCTACAAATAATCTTGATTATAATAAATAGACTGTATATACATTTCCATATTTGATTATAGACAAAAAAATATTTATTTTTATAGATAATACAGTGCTAGTTATAATCAAGTTACTCCTCTTAATTATACAAAACTTAAAATAAATAGTAAAATAAATTTTTTTTATTTTAAAATATAGAGTAAATGCTACTATTTAATACTTAGTATAATTACCATCTAATTCTATTAATACTAAAACCTGATTCTCTATACTTTTAACTAAATTTAAAGCAAATGAATCTAGAAGTTTGTTCTATTCATTTGTGATTGCCTGCTTCAATGAAATAACTGATCTAATTTTTTTTTTGTATTTTAATTTTTAGGACTTGCAA